TACAGGGAGACTTGTCACCTCGATGCCAGCTAATGGGGACTCACGCAGACCTCAACTTATTTTTACAAACAGTCACACACACTTTTTCACACTTTTTTCCCTCCAACTGTTTTCCTGCTGTCATTATCCTGCAGCCATATTGTTAATCTGTGTGTTGGAGATCCAATATACTGTAGGCTCTGGATTTTGCTGAGTCAACTTCAGACAGCTTCATGTTTTAATGGAGGCAGGGGCAGACTTCATGTTTGTTTATTATAGTTCATTCTGCAATTCTTTTCCATGCCTCGCTGTGCCAAGTCATGATGGTGATTACATTATATATCAGAAGAAGCATTAATAATTAAAGTGCATAAAGTAGGTCACTGGATTTGGCAGAAAATGATACAGCAGAGGACAGGAGGAGTTTCAAAGGTTGGGGTTTTCTTTTCAGAGTATAATTACACATGAAAAATTAAGAGCCTCTTATTTGGATGAAACGCAGTTTACTAGAGTCCTACAGTGTAGAAGACTTGTGCAGTTCAAGTGCAATGCTAAAAATAGACCATGTAATAAATACCGGCTCGCCTTATAACTGAGTGACTTTAGTTTTAAGGCCATAGGTTGTGTTGGTGGACTGAACCGTATTGATGGCCTCTCACCTTTTTTCCTATAATATATAAACCTTCATGAATTGTGTTGCGGACTCTTTTTATTTTGTTGGATTCCGATTCCAAGTTTGTTTCTCACCAATTCAGAAAGCCTAAAGGTTCATCCTGTGGCAAAAACAGTCGCAGACAAATGGAAATCAGAGGTGATAAAATCACAGAAAAGCACAAAGTGAAATCAAAAGGTCAGATCAATAAAAGTGAAAGTATTGATACAAAACAGTCATTTCTATTAGTAACTCCACCACACCAGCATCTCTACCATGGTAATTATAAAGAAAAGAATAAAGAGAGCATTAACAATAATAATGACTCACTTGCCCTCGATACAAAATTCACCAAATCAAACTGGGCTTCTTGTCAAGGTGTCCTCTGGTCTTGTGTAGATTGTTCACCTCCTCCCACACTCCTCCTACAACATCAGAATTTAGTTCGTCAGAGAAAAGTCGTAGAATTTCAATCAAATTAATTGCTGTACATAATCAAAGCTCGCTGTAATTTTAAATGATACTTCCTTAAAATTACGCTGTGGTTAATTTTGACAGCTTTCCTGAATTACTTCTGCAGACCTTACTTAAATCAGACTACAGTGAACACAACTAGCTAATATATACTTTTATATAATTATGTATTACTAAGTGCGAATAGTATTTTGTGCATTTCTGTCACTGACCTCGTCGTCCTCTGTCTTGCCTTGTTTTGCATCCTCGCCTATTTGCTCCGTATCAGTCTCTAAGCTGTTGTCTGCTCCCTCAGTTTACTTTCTTTGGAAAATGTTTTAAAAAACCAGTCCTACTCCTCGCTTTTATGCTTCTTTCGGACGCACGTTCTCTTTATCGCTTCCTCTCTCTCTTTTTTCCTCCAACAGAAAAACCACGTATACAAGAAGACCCTGCAGGCTCTCATCTACCCCATCTCCTGCACCACGCCGCACAATTTTGAAGTGTGGACCGCCACCACACCCACTTACTGCTACGAGTGCGAGGGTCTGCTGTGGGGCATCGCCCGGCAGGGAATGCGCTGTGCAGAGTGTGGGGTCAAAGTGCATGAGAAATGCCAAGAGCTGCTAAACGCTGACTGCCTGCAAAGTAAGTAAAGTTATTAAACTACCTGACAGCTGAATTGTCATATTTATTATTGCTTCCTGTGAACTCGCTGCATCGCCTTCAGGAGCGGCCGAGAAGAGCTCCAAAACCGGGGCAGAGGACCGGACGCAGCACATCATCATGGCCATGAAAGACCGGATGAAAATCCGCGAGAGGAACAAGCCAGAGATCTTTGAGGAGATCCGTAAAGTGTTCAACGTCTCCAAGATGGTCCACACCCAGAACATGAAGAACATTAAGCAGAGTGTGCTGGATGGCACTTCCAAGTGGTCAGCCAAGATCACCATCAATGGTATTTACTTGTTACTTCTTATTTGAAGTTAAAGACCTAAACAGTTGCCTGTTTTCTCTACAGAGACCATTGAAATGTTTACGGTAGTTTTAAACTGGAGTCCAAATGCCGCATTTCACTACAAGGCATCCTTAATCTGCCTCTGCTTTTGTCTCACTTTCAGCTATTGAAAGATAAAAACACATTTACACAAACTCTCCCCAATATTTTCAGACTCCTGTTAGGAGCAAATTTCTTGCAGACATCCAGGAAAAGTAATTCCCAGATTCTTTTCACTCTAGTAAAATGTAAAGGTTCCCTTTTATAATTGACCCTTTAAAGCCCGGTAGCACTGCAATCACTTAAGCTAGCGCAATATTTTTTTCTGCATATGAAACCTGAGGAGTTGTACTTACATCTGATGCCATCAGCTTGTCCTTGGTCACAGTTTCCTTCCACATATAGCTTTGCAAAAACTGCATAAAAAGCGCTTGCAGCAACAAAAACATAATATTCCAGAAACACGCTTTGCAGATCCGATCAGCTGTTTGTAACACTTCCTATGTCCATCAGCGTGAACCATTGCATGTCCGCCATGTCCTGCCCGAAACCGGAAGTGACGCCATTTTGAGGAAATGTAGTTTTTACCATCGGGGCCTCATGAGCCTATACTGGTGTTTTTAAAAGTTATCTTTGACTTTATGACTTTCTGTGTCGTCTCTGGGATGCTGAGGACTCATATTGCACTGCTGGAAATATTTTATTTTGATGCATATGCTGTTATTTTGCAAATTTGCACTATAATATTTATTTTCGTTTTTCCTGCAGTGTATGAAAATTGGTGTATTTCAAAAATAAAACTATGAAGACACTTGAAATTAATTTCCTTTGGTGGGAAACTATTTTGTGCAACTTTTTTGTATTTACAGTTTTGAGGGATACGCCTGTTAAATTTCTCTAACTAGAAATATATGTTAAATAAACCAAAACGATTTTAAATTTTTTTGTAGTTTATTGCACTTTTTTGCAATTTCTATAATTACCATGCACTTAATGCAGACATTAAGTGCATGGTAATTACTCTGGCTCTGGAGGACTTGGTTCTATGGTAGGTCTTAAAGAGTTAACACTGACTTCAGCCACATTTAGTTTAGTGTATTTTAGTTAGGCCCCACATTAGTCAAAATAATCTCTGCTTATACATGGAAAGTATACAGTAGTTACAGCACCAGCAAGACCTCCACAGGCATCAGTGACAAATATGAAACTGGTTTGGATGGTGGGTTGCAAAGGGTCTTGCAGAGGCAGCTTTAGTCAGGCTAATGAGTTTCAGCTAAGGTGTCAGCTGATATGGGCTGGGATCACCTGGGATTGGCTGAGTCCCCAAGGTGTCATTAATGTCCGTTAGTAAATAAATTCTTCTGGTTCAGTCAACCAGGCCTCAGTGCACAATTTCCGACACTTTCCCAAAGAGTGACTGTGGGTGTTAGAAAGTTGGAAAAGCAAAGCAGTTTTTTTCATGCATATTCAAACCCGATGAGAGTTAGGAAAGCTGGCACAGTTGTCGCCGACACCTGTGTAAACCTGCAGCTGTGTAGAAGTGAAGCAGAGTGTCGCTGAGCCGGAGCGCGACAGGTGCTAAAAAATATCCACCCATATTCATAAAGCATCTTCTTTCCTCACACCGTCTACTGAGCTGTGCTGAAACTTTAACTGTTTATAGGAAGGAGTTACTAATTTGAACGGATTCACATCCCCACCTCTCTTCGCCGCACATCATCAGGACTGCCACTGTTACCAAAGCAACCAGACATATCACACCATATATTGGCAGCAGTGTTTCCATAGCAGCCATCACACCTTGTCTCCCCAATCAGCAGAGATGAGCTCGTTTAAAGATGAGATACAGGGACGGGCGTGGAGCTGCTGCTTTGCTGAAAATCATTCATAACCTAATGGCTGTCATTCACTTTCCTGCTGAACGAGGTCTGACAAACATACTCAACCAATTCTTGATGTGCAGTCATTGTCACGGCTGGGGCAGCAGTCGTGTGGTGGAATGAACGAGGAGCCAAGATGCAGATGGCAGTGGAGATGCAGGTGGAGATTTATTTACAGTGAAAACCCAGGTGAGGGCAGAACTGAATATAAACCTAAACTGGGAAAACTAACACAAAGCGAGGACACGAGGCGAGGAACAGAGAGACACGGAGACATACCAAATGATGCAGAAGCTTCACAGAGAAACACAGACGACGCGACACATACTATAAATACACACACCAGGTAACCAGGAAATGGCACACAGGAGGGGACACAGCTGGAAGTGATGGGCATAACGAGACTGACCTACAAAGTAAAACAGGAAACACACAGACTGTTTTACAACACAAAACTCGGGAACTCGAACAGAGCACAGAGGTAGGGATAATAAACACGACAACCAAACCCAAAGAACTAATACAAAATCAGAATAAACTAGAAAATAATAATAATAGACTCAAAGCGCTGGGTCACCGACCCAGGACCATGACAGTAATAGTTTTTTAAAAAGTACATGTTCAGAAGCTTTGGACGCATAATCTCTTTGTACAGTCCTCCTATCAGTGTGGCTGCTTGTAAGCACAAGAAAAGCTTTTCTCTGTAGTTGTAAATGGGATAAAACCCTTTAAACAAGTGAACTTTTTAAACACGATAAAGAAAAGGCTGCATGTGTCTATAAATTGATCAAGCTGTCTAAAACGTCAGTCATGTCATCCATCTGAAATACAACTCGAAGCGCTTTTAACTCGAACCCCTCTGGACTGACAGGAGATGCTTCACAGAGAGCTCTTTGAAGAGTCACTCGATTCCAGTAGGGAATAACCAATTTATATTCAAAATGCTCTTTAGCACAGAGACGTGGCCACTAAATGAACAGACAGCAAATATATGACTGGAACGTTATGGCTCATAACAGCATATTAATCGTACATTCGAACACACATCTCGTTAATCGACATTTTATTTGGGAAAAAACAGGAAACAAATGTTTAAAGTGAGAAAACGGACCATTTAAAGAAATTGGGTAATTTTGATGACATCATGTTTCCCACTGTGTGCAAACATCTGGGAACTGAGGAGACCACCTGCTGGACTAACAGGAGAACAATGTTGTCCCGTTCTTGTCTGATGGGAGATTCCTGCTGCTTCACAGTCCTGGGTCTTCTTTGCTGTAGTTTTAGTTTTGCGATGATGCAAACGTTCAGCACGCAGACTCTTCTACTGTGAAGCCGTGCTGTTGTTGTCTTGCTGAAATACACAAAACCTTCCCTGGAGAGAAGCCGGAGAAAGTCATCTGGCTGGGAGCATATGTTGAGCTAAAACCTCCTGAGCCCACGGAGCGATGCATGTGAATGCAGTTAAAAGGCTTTGCCCGTTATGCACAGAGATTTTTCAAGTTTCTCAGACTCTTTCAGTGATATTAGGCACTAATAATGGGATTTACATCATTCTGAATTTATTCCACAATTTTTAGACATCATTCTTTGCAGTGTGGTGAACGTCTGCCCAGCTTTACTTCTGAAAAACTCTGCCTCTCTTTTTATACACAGGCAGGTCAGTGACCTGTCGCCAATTAACCTGATTGTCGTTTTTAGTACCATTTACTTTTCCAGACATTTGTTGCTCCATCCCAACTTTTGGAGACGTGTTGCTGCCCTTGAATATGGTACATTTTCTAAGCTCAAATATTTAATTTGTTTTTTATGTTCTATTATAAATAAAATATGGGTATGCGACTGTCAAAGATTGCATTCTGTTTTGAATTATAATTTACTCAGCATCCCAGCTTTTTTGGTGAATCTGGCATCAACAATGCATTTTCTTCTGCTGAACTGCTGCTCGCGGGATGATTTTAGTATTTCAGGCCATTCTCTGTAAACTGTAGAGATGGCTGTGCAGGAAAATCCCAGCAGATCAGCAGTTTGTGAAATACTCAGACCAGCCTGTCCACAACTAACAACCATCCAAGTCCCTTAAATCACCTTTCTTACTCATTCTGATGCTCAGTTTGAACTTCAGCAGCTCATCTTGACTATGTCTGCATGCCTGCATGAGTGGAATTGCTGCCATGTGATTGCTCTATTTGAACATTTGCATTAACAAGCACGCTAACAGGTGTACCTAATAAAATGGTTGAGTGTAGATATTCATAAATGGCATAAATGTGTTATTCTTTTTTCTATTTTTAAAATTAAAAACAGATGTGATCGCCTGTTTACATTTCATACATGAACTGGCTTTTTTCAAATATTAGACACAAAAAACATGTCACACTCTTTAACTACAGTCAGTGTTTGCTGTTAAGCAACAGCTATTTATGGCCTGGGACACACACAGGTTGTGCAATCGGCATCATTTGCTACGTTCTGAATGATGAGACTCACCCTGAGCTCACCCTGCATGTCGAATTTCTGTCAATAACCTTCCTCCCGGTCCTAGAAAATGTGCGTGCATGTTGCTTAGTTCATTTGTCCTCAGGCTTCAGCTCTAGTTAAAGTCTGCAGCTATGAATAGTTCCCCTCATTAGTATGTGCTGCAGAAATCCCGCTTGCCTTCTCACCTGGATTAAAGTGACAGTGTGAGATGGCAGAAATGAAGTTGTCCCTCCTTGGTACCTGTTGACCTTCCGTAGTTGATAAATGTCTCCAGTCACAATTCAGATCATCCGTCTATCAAAAAAGTTTTGTGCCAGCTGACAGGAGAGAAGCCAAACAGAGCCAGGTGTCACAGAAACGGCTTTTCATTTATTGCTTGGTTGTTTTAGGAGAGTAAGGTACAGATGCAGCATACAGAATGCAATGTGCAAAAAGGAGATAAAAAAAGATTGCATGCCATGTGCTGCTGACACTACAGGCTTCACTACGCTCTGGTGCAACAGTGGGACCACATCATAGCCTCATGGTTTTTTAAAGCCTACTTTCACCACTTGTTGCACAAAACCTCGCGGTTATTTAAGATATTTAGTAAAAAATGTTACCCAACATCTGCCTGTGAGTCACGAGTATTGTGTTACGAGGCTTTGCATAACTGTGTGGGTGATATTGTGTGTTTCGATGTGTATGTGAATGAGAAACAGAAAGATGATGGTAGGGAGTAGGTGTTTGTTGTTCTTATGCAATTTTCATAGTCATTTTCTCTGTGTGTGTGTGTGTGTGTGTGTGCGTGTGTGTGTGTGTGTGTCAGTCGTCAGTGCCCAGGGTCTCCAGGCCAAGGACAGGACAGGTTCCAGTGATCCATATGTGACCATCCAAGTGGGTAAAACCAAGAAGAGAACAAAGACAATCTACGGCAACCTGAACCCAGTCTGGGAGGAAAAGTTCAGCTTGTAAGTGCAAGTTGCTGTTTTCCTCCAGGTTTAAAACGTAGTTGGAGCTGAAAGCTATGTGCCTCTGTCACGGTGACCCTGCTGTGCAAGAAGATGATTTGTAATCGTTTTCCTGAAGGTCCCGCACATCCATAGGAAACCCACACAGATGATTTCACTTGGTTCGTTAGAGGTCTTTTCAACACTGTGTGGGTTTGCACAGAGTATTCCTCGTGATCATCTTTGCTGTGTTGTTCCTGATCACAGCATCTTTTTTAAGTACCCAGTGGAGCCCAGTGGAACAGATGTAAAGGTGTGCAGGACTTAGAAATAGCAAAATGCATATACAGCAGTAGTATCAGTATCTGTGGTTCCTTTGGGTCCAATGGGTTGTGGCCTTGGGATCATATATCCAGGCAGATTAATGCCTGGATTTTCATCAAGTTTTTATGTTGTGGTCTAACATTGTTTCCATGAGGGAGGCCTGACATGTGAGGTGTGTGATTGTGCCGCAGCAATGGTGGGCGGTACGTTTCAAAGTAACACCCACGTCAATGTCTAGACCAAAGTTTCCCAGGAAAATCCAACTTTAAAGGCAGCAGTCATGTTAAGCACGTCTCCTGTCAGTGGGTTGAATGTTGTGGATGTTCTGTTTGATAGACGTTTGTATGCCCTCCTTTGGTTTTCATTGACTTTATTATATAATCTGATTAATAAGTAAGGAATATTTGAACAGCTGCAGACCAGTGTGGGTCAGTTAGCACTAATGCGTCTTATTAGCTTTTGTCTGGTGCAACATTGGTAGCCCTCTCACTTTGTATATTTATATGAATTTTAGAGCAGTTAAGAAGTTTAAAACTTTCCTCTGTACGGATAAAGCACATAAGAAGAGAGGTTTGGAGATTTAAAATATGCACGATGTAAAGTTGCGTCACATGCACTTCAAATTGATTTTAATTATATATTCTGTCTTCTTCAAGCTATATTTCAGCTTTGGGTTAGGACATCTATTTATTTTTTTTAATAAATATAGCCTTTTTTTTTCCTTCAAATTAATGAGTCAGTAGCTGCTGGCTGCAGAGTGATAAAGCATGTGGTTCTTAAATCATTTCAAACATATGTTTATTTGCTCTGGGCTTGCAAATGCCTCACCTCAGCTGCGTGCTGCCACATGTGTCAAAACAACAGCCCACCCACCTGTTCCCTGTCTGCACAGCGAGTGCCACAACTCATCAGATCGGATCAAGCTGCGGGTTTGGGACGAGGACGATGACATCAAGTCGCGAGTGAAGCAGCGTCTGAAGAGGGAGTCGGACGACTTCCTGGGACAGAGCATCATTGAGGTCCGAACGCTCAGTGGAGAGATGGACGTGTGGTATACCCTGGGTATGTAGTCACTCAGAACTCAGAGGATTATGGGAATAAATGTCTCAGAGTGTTTGTTTGTCATCTAAGACCTAAAGAGCATCTCAAATTTAACTCTGAGTGATGTTTCACTTCAGAGTAATTGTGTCTGTGTTTTTGTCTACTTACAGAAAAGAGGACAGACAAGTCGGCGGTGTCTGGTGCCATCCGTCTTCAGATCAGCGTGGAGATTGAGGGAGAGGAGAAGGTGGCGCCCTACCACGTGCAGTACATGTGCCTTCATGAGGTAAAGGACATCAAACATGTCGTGGGGACACTGACTGTATTTGTTAAACAGTTTGCTATGCTATAGTTTCTATTCAGATGAAGCTATCAACAAAGAAATGGTTAAAACAGCTTTCACAATTTACCACATAAAAGAGAGACCACGGCACGAGCACAACGATTATGGTCGTGTGCGATAAGTCTGTTTACAATTGAACGGGGTCAGGTTGACAATTACATGCAGTCTGTGTGTGACAATACTGCAGTCAGCTGTGATAAATCAGTGCTGTGTACACAGAGACATTAAATCAGATTGAATTAAACAGAAATTCAAATTAGCTACTTACATTTAGAGTCCAGCCAGAACCTCACAGGTTTGAAACTGAAGTTTCTCCACAAATAGAGACGCAGTGTAACTGCACAACGGCACGGGCGCTCGGTGACCTTGTTTTTATATGAATACAACCAGAATATAACCAGCTGAGTCACGTCTCCTATTGTAAAGAGACTCGTGGCAGTCAGTCTGTGTGATCTGTCTGCATTTATTGACCAGATGGCAGATTGGATTGTTTGGAAGCAGGTTGCCTCCCACCAGTAACCCTGCACGCTCAACCTCTGGCCAATCAGTTGGTCACTGCAGCTTTTTGCTGAAATAGAAAAATATCTGTGCAATCACTGATAAACCACTGATGTTTCCTGGTCACATAAATGTTGCCGTGCCATTTTTACTCCATTCTTACTGAAACATAACTACAGAAACAACAATAAAAACAAAACAGCTTGGGGGCAGCAACCGAGAAAGACTGATCACCTTCAGATTTCAGGTGAGAGGAGGGCACTGGAGGAATGACTTTTGATGGTTTTGGTTGTGTGAAAAGTCTTGGAGCGTTTTTCACACCTCTTTGGGATTTCTGTTTGAAATGGAAATATTCATAAATACTTTTTGAGGATCAGTAGACACACGTCTGAGTCTGTTTGCTAACACAAAACAGATTCCTAAAATAAACAAAGTTGTTTCATGTGGTTAATAATTACAGTTACATTTTTAAATTTTAAATCCTCTCTCTAGAATACGTTTCACTTTACGACGGATGTCGAGGGAGGCGGCGCGGTGAAGATCCCGGCCGCTCAGGGAGACGACGCGTGGAAGGTTTACTTTGATGAAGTGCAACAGGAAATTGTGGATGAGTTTGCGATGCGTTACGGCGTTGAGTCCATCTTCCAGGCCATGACGTAAGCTCTGTTTGCAAACTTACCGAACACTTGACTACAGTCCATCCAACAGGCTGTGATGTGAGGTAGATGTATCAGGAGGGGCTCGTTGGTATTATTTGTGGACCTGTGTGTCTCCTGCATGTTAATGTGATGGGAGGCATTAATGTCATGAACTATAAACAACATGCAAATTAGTTTATCTCACCTAATGAGAAAAGATGACCCCTCACCTCAGAGATTTCCCTGCTGTTTGGTTGGATCATTGCAGGCAGGGGCACAGAAGCACTCAGCAAGCATTCATACACACATCCTGGTTTAATTGCATTAATAATGTCAGAATTTGGGCTTAAAGGGACGTGTGTTGGTTTTGTGTGCTGGGAAAAGGAGCGCAATCACATAACGCAATCATGTGGGGAAATATTGAGTGAAGTGAAGCTGTAAGCAGAAGTGGGCCCGACTCTGTCCCAGCGGAAATGTGGATATGAGCCGTTCAATGACACAGCCAAATGAAAGTGGTGATTGGAATATACAAGAACACTGTGGCCATTATAGAAGTCTCACTAAGAACTCGGTGAACCGAACAGCTCCTTCACCGATGAGGAAATTAATTTATTCACCTGTTTTTAGGACCCTGTCTAACATTTCACACACTCTAAATGGTATGTGTGTATTTGTTTGTACCAAACAATTTATAATTTTGTGGATAAGTTTAGAAGCAATTTGGCATCCTGCAAAAGTGAGGTTCTTAGGGCTCCGCTTCAAACTTCCACACTGGGAAACATCAATGACATCAGGGGCCAGACACTTGCAGCTTCTGAGATGTTTTATTTCAGTAAAAAGAAATTAAATTTCAATTTCCCTAAAAGCTTGTTCACATACATTATGCTCCACTTAACACATAAAAAAGTCATCATGTTAGTCAACTGAAAAAATGCATTCTGATTACGTTTTACGTGAAGGTTGCCGCACAGTTGCCATACAACTGGCTGTTTAATTAAATGTAATATATTATTTTTCCCCCTCAATATGACAACTCAGTGTAGTGTCTGCTTTCTGCGTGAGAAAGTTTGTTTTTATCATGTAGTTTCTCTCCTCTTTACAGCCTCAGCTTCTCAGAAAAAGCTACCACTCGCAAATACTCATATTCTTTTTGCAGCATCTTCCACTGAATGAGCCATTTCCTCTGCGACAGTGAAACCTGGTTTCATCACTTTGAGATTTGGCTCAAAGACAGTTCTTTGCTGTAGCTGCATGCATCTTTTCAGTTCAGTGGCTTTCTGAAACCTCTCCACCCCCTCGTATGACTCCACATCTTTTGCTGGCGTGTGGATTCAAAATGACAACACAAAGAATATGAGATCATCTTGTGACGCGTGGATACAGGGGCCAGTCTTTAGAGTGAACAAAGGAGTTCCCATTCTCCAGCCTCCGTTAAAACTGGCTGCCTTCAGCATCAGCTTTCCTGTTTTGTGTCATTCTGTGTTTGCTACATTGGTGCTAAGATATTTAGACCACAGCCAAAACCAAGTGGACCAAAACTGATTCAAATGTAGCCATGGGGACAGAAAAATGCTTGCACGTCTCAGATTTTATTCTACACCCTGGGTATGTTTGCACCCAACTCAAATCCATTTGGTCCATCCATATCCAGTTTCCTTTAGCTTTTTTTGGGGTCTTCAGAGGGTTTAAAATACTGTTTTACTCCCCCCCCCAATGTTAAATCATCATTGGCAATATTAATTTCGGGTCCACACAAGAAGTTTCCTTCTTTCTTCATCTTCATTGACTTAATTTTTTGATCATTTCCCGTCCGTCTCTCTTTGTGTCTTTTGTTTTTCACCTTCTCATTATGTTTCGCTATTTCCTTCCTGCCTTCCTGCGTCCACTTCAATTACTCTCTCCCTTTTCTCCGTAATTTATATCCTCCTCCTGCTTCCACTGATCCCCCCTCTGGCCTCTTTATGTCTCATTCTCGACCTTCTTACCCTCTGTCCTCACCTGTCTTATCCTAATTGCTTACCCACCTTCCTTCCCGCCTCTCCATAACCACTTCTGCCTTTTTTTAACCTGCTAACTGCATTTATATCCTCAATCTTCCTTTCTCTTTCTCCCCTGCCCGTTTCCCCACATTTCTTCTCCTGCTCAGCCAATTCTCTTGCCTGTCCTCTAAGTACATGCTGTCAGGGGTGCCGGCAGTGATGAGCACCCTGCTGGCCAACATCAATGCCTTCTACGCCCACCCCACCGCCTCCACCAATGTCTCTGCTCCAGCCAGATTTGCAGCCTCCAACTTCGGGGTAAGTGAACACCCATCACGATAAAATATAAATGTAAAGTTTATCATCCAGTGAGAACATTTTGGGACGTGGTAAAACTGCAGTAATTCTCATGCTAAACTAAAAAAGACTAAAGAGATAGTTTATTAACATGATGTATTAACTGTCAAGAGCTTCAATGAGAGGCAAGCTGATTAAACACACACACTATGACTCAGAATAAAGGCTTAGAGTGAATGAAGCTGAAGGCTGAGATGAGACGTTTGTAATTCTAAGTGTCAAATATTGGGTAGCAGTGGTTGGCTCGTTTTCTCTTTGTTAGCTTTTTCTCTTCAAAAAGTTACATAATAATGGAGCTCTATTATTTCTGTGTCTGTCCTTGTGGTAGTGGAGCTGAATCAGTCTGTTAGACAAGGTGCTCTGCTGACTGTCCAGTAAGTGTTGCAGAAGGCAGTGAGGATTATCCATGAAGCTTCAGACGTGTGCCAGTCACAGAGCCAGTGTTCCCAATTACTTTATTCAGTCTGTTGGTGTCACCAGCTGATGATGCTCCCCCAGCAGACCACAGCTCTAGATGCAACAGAGCTGTGGTCTGTTAAAAAACCTCCAACATCTTGCTGCACTGCACAGAGACATACAACAC